CTTCTGGCGGTCCACAATCATCAGCCTCGCTAATTTCAACCTGTGCGGTCGTCCCAATATACGCACGTGCCTAAATGCTCCACTGAGGTTACGATTCGTGCTGGCGCGTTGTGTGGAGTTGGGCAATCTGAAGTTAAGTTAGTGTCACAGCTGATGCACGTCCACCAAGTCTGTGGCCGCATATTCCCGCGTAGATTCTCCGTCAGCCACACAGAACTTCCTATTCACACCCTAATCACCGGTAAATCATTCGTCTTGTGTGAACACCGGTAATCTGTTTTCTTTGTTTTTGCAAGCGCCTTTCTAGTGCCGCTAACTGGTGCCGTTTCACACTGCACATAAACACATGCATTTCCAATTACTAAGTTTGTTGACACAGTCGCTTTTGCGTGGGTGTGTGACTACCGAGTGCGTCCCAAGCCCCTGTCTATGACCCCTGCAGTATGGACCAATTCGACGCGCGGATGCTGCAAGCGGAGAAGGATCTGGCGTCGCACCAGTCGCGCGCGCACGCACGAATCACCAGACTGCGACGAGCCTGGCCAATCAAGCGCACGGTGTACCTGGACCCGCGTGAGCTGGAGACCCCCCACATCCTCTGTCTGGGACCCCCACACTCTGCCCCCACCTCCGCCACCAGCGTCACCGTCGTCAACGATCCCAACAAGGCCCAGGCCGCGGTGCCCAACTACCTCGACAACCTCTCGGCCGACGACGTGAAGACGCCGTGTCTGGTGCCTTCAAGTGTACAGCGTTGAGACCAACCGTGTGTACAGACACGCTCTCTCTCCGTGCTTCTTTCTGAGAAATTTGTCATTTTTTTTCGTTTCCAATCGTTATTTAGTTAATTCCTCTGACTACTTATTTATATGTACGTATATACGCAAATTGTGATTACACAGTAGATCGCAGTCGACTTGGTTTTTGACGGCTACTGATGTTACCGAGTAGGGTTTTTGTTCAACTGTCGATTAGCAGAAAAGCACTCGACTGGCAATGTTTGGAAAAGTGCATTTGGGCAGTTATCACGTAAAGAAGGCAGGGGAGGTCAATGCAGTAGACACCTGCCTCGGTTCACAAACAAACAAGCATAAATACTTCATTGATGCGGCAAAGAGAACTTAGGAGGTGGACAAACGAGATGTGTTTTGGGAAGAAAGGAACAAGTCGAATGGTATGCTGCTATCTCTTTACATTGCATGGGCTTGGGGGTCATAAATGCGTTCCTGGGGGTGGTGTGGAGGGGGGAGCGGGTGGAATAGAACCCCGCGTCACTACTCAGTGGATTTCTCCATCAGTGCGCTCATACGAGATCGCCAGCGCTGGCTCTGCTTCACCACCTCACGGGCAACCTGGCGCCTGTCGATGTGAATCCGCAGCACCTAAAACCAGCGGTGAAAAAGCACGATTGTAACCAACTTGCTCAATGTCACGCGAGGTGTTTTCAACTCCCGAACTTACATCGCGAACCAGCTCCTCGGGATTGGTGAGATTGGAAGGTACAGTCTGCGCTCGCATTAGGATGTCGTCGATGCCGCCGCACGACTTCCTGAAGGAGGCGCTTCCAAAACATCGGTAGAGAAGCAGGAGACCCACCTTGAAAATGATGATTTTGCCTGAAAAAAAAAACCGTAATCACACCTATTACAGCATGGCAGTATTTCCGGACCAATAGGAGTGTGACTTGGAGTTCGCAGTGTGTGATTGGTTAGAATTACTAGACTAAACAAAACATTTTGACCAATAGGAACGTTCGTCAACGACGGATTGGTTAGAATTACCAGACTCTAGGACGCGCCTTGATCAATGGGTGCGTTTAATGGAGCAAGCCAGGAATGTGATTGGTAGAAGTTGAAATCGTCGGTGGCTTACCTTCACAGAAAAACATGTCCAGAACTCGAAGAGCACACGCCCATGGCAGGGTCCGAGTGTAGACGCACATGAACCACTCGACCACAAGCATTATCGGTTCGGCTCCGTGCTTCAACTACATGGATAAAATTAGATTTGAGTTAGGACGACGTTTAAGAGACTGTTGTGAATCGTGTTTATTCACACCCCCTTAATCCGGTCGATCCATCCTCCGACACAGGTTTCCCCTTTTAGCAGCATGTCGCCAGCCGCGCGGATCCTCAACTCCCCCCTAATTCACACTGATATTTACCCTGGATCATCTTCAAACTTCGACCTCGATGTTAGCGCATGTATGACTCACACATCCGAGGAACAAATATACACGCGCGAACCCCATACACGACACACAGACACCAACGAGGTTGAGCTCTGAAGTAAACGGTTGTGTCCACGTTCTCTCCGGTTTTTCCCTCATCGCGGGTGTCAGGGAAACTTAATCGGGTCAGGGTTAATTCCGTGGCCCCGGCGTGGTTCAAGACCACATGCAGGGGCCCACAACCAGACAAACCATGCAAAACGGTTTGGCACTCAAGATATCTATAAAACTACTAAAAATGCAAATAACCGCAAATTTTCGCTATTTTGAACAACGCAAATTCGCGAACAAACGTAGACGATTTAACCAAGTGCACAAGCCAAATGAGGAGTACTTGCCAGGAATTTGTGGATTTGCGGTGACAGGCGCTTGAGAAGGCCGTAGAGCACTTGACCGTCAATTTGAATGAGCTCCTAAAACAGACAAAAGCAAGCATCGAATTTGTCCCGGCCGTGATTACACCAGCAACCGTTGAATCCAGTGTCGGGATTCACTCAAAAGTGGTGTTTTTCTGGGGCAATTTGAGGCACCCTTTTATTGCACCTCAAGGTGGTCGGACGTCTTGGGAGCAATCGTATTCGGACAGAATGAAAGCGAGCGTTCACTTAGCCGCACAGCTCGATAGCACCGCAGTGATTTAGCAACGTAAACACTCGTGAATTTATGGGCGTGTTCGTGGTGGTCATTGTGGTGCGTCTTTTAACGGCACTGTGGACCTCACACAACCGACCAGATTGCATCTCCACACGCGACCTGGAAACACTAGCTAAGGATATCGATCGGTTCGTGGGACTGATCGCACAACGTACGAGGCCTTCGTCGTAGTAGGAGACGAGGTAGCGCTCGCAGATCTCGTTGAACGCCCAGAAGGCCTCTACCTCGGGCATGAACATGAGGAGGACCGCCGCTAGCGGGGCCTGGCCCTGGCAGTAGCCCTTGCCGGGGTGGCGGATGGTGTAGGACTTGAGGATGGTGAAGAGGCTCTCGCGGCTACACGGGAAGGCATAAAAAAGGGAGGCACGTTAGACAGAACCAGTAACTACTACTACTACTACCAGTGGTGGTTCGAGGGAATACCTTAAACCGTGGTTTGTTTAAATGGGTAGGACTTTGGAACAGTTGGACAAATTAACATAAATAAAGCCACATGTGCTGATGTAAATTGCAATTACACAGGCTCACACACACACGCATTTGGCAGGGGGTTAGGGCAAACCATCGCACCGAGTGACAAATCCAAGTGGCCTTGAAACTTGGAAAAATGGACCAATGGGATTTGGGGAACTTCGACTTCCCCGGCACCAATACGGGCACTGACCAATCGGAGCAAACGCGGGAATCGAAACATACAAACAAGCAAATTTGGTGGCTGGGGATTACAGGAAGTGTAATAAAGTGGCAACAGCTGCCAGCGGTGAGAAGCCACGTGATTGCGAGTAAACAGGCGTGTCACATGGCGTGCGGTGGGTGGTAGAAACTTCCGAAAACATCACACATTCACCGGATTGCCGCGGGCATCGGCAGGGTATGGTGATTAATTTGCCGAGAAACAGGACTAACGACATCAAGTGTGTAAACTAACGGCGATTGGCTGGGGACAGAAATCCCAAATGGCCCGAAATGCCGCAGCGAAGGGACGTACAACGAGTGTGTCCGATCACAGCGCAATCCGATTGGTCGATTGTGTAAGCAATTGGTGTGGATTTGACGAACTGCACCAAGGTTGGGATAACAAAACGTTATGGTGCGGATTTTCATGTGGTTGTGGCAAACTTGGACTGCACAGTGTGTCAGGTGAAAGGAAGTCAGCATTGTAAAGACAGATAACGACTAATCACGATTTCACAAGAAATGTGACTTTGCGGTTGTGCAAAAAAGTGAAAAATCGACGGTAACTCATGATCACAGTGGAATCGATGTAATTTTGAAGTAAACTACCAATGACAGTGCATGGTTAAGCTAACCAATCACAGTTGGCCAGGGGTAAAACTGTTCACTACACAACAGAAAGTCCTGAACAGGTGTCGGAGGTAAGGCCACACAATTCACCATTAGAGGCAACGATATCCAGCCTCTACGAACATTCTGTTTGGGCAATGTCGCGATCTACTTCAAGACTAAAAACACCCGATCCCTCAATCGCCTTTCAAGGAGGCAGAGGCTGAGAAGTGTGAAATAGATGTTTAAATAAAGTCAATGTGCCGGGGATCATTCCAGGAATCGAAACAATGTGTGGGCAACATTCACACAACCACTCTACTATCAAACGAGGTCGCAATCTGTGGTGGTAGACGCCTGCTCGATTGTAGCATCGCAATCCACGAGAACACACCGTCAAAGGTGACTTCAAATACAGTGAGTTCTCAAGTTCCCTTCCATCAAGACAGCGCTTCTTCTTCCACCCCCCTGCAGATAACTCAGCTACTTCTCTGGAACTGGGCATCACATCAAGGACAGGAGTGAATCGATACCTTCTCAGCAGGTTTTCTTGGTGTTGGTGGGTTAGCAGGTGGTAGGTGTGCATGTCACCATTCCTGAGCAAGAAAACCAACTGATTTATTCCCATTTGACTGTGAAGTTACCCCAATTGCAGAACCCGTGAACATGTTTTCTTTGACTCAAAAGGCCCTCCGATCAATCGATTTTGGCCACAGTTGTCCGGAAGACGAATTGCCATTCGACATGTCCTCGCGTAATCCATTCGCAGTCAAGTTAGAATACAAACACTGGGGTTTGTGTAATTTAAATCCCATTTCACAAGGTTGGACTGTTTTTGCGCACAGGTCGGTGGAAGACTTCAACAACTGACAATTA